GGGGACGTGACGGCTACACGCAGGATTCAGTTGCCCGAATTGTGTTTGCTAAAATAACGAAGCTAATAGCATTCTTGGTATTTTCAGTTAAAGCTAGTCTGGTAGCCTCTGTTCGTGGGGAGCCTTAAAGAAAAAAAAACTATGGCTAGGGTTAAAATTTGCATTTGGCCTTAAGGAGCATAGCTATACAAGTTATATGGTTATGGGATTTATGTTAATGTGGTGGTTTGTCCTCTTAATTAATAAATAAGCTTTGCCGTTATGGAGAGCTGCTTTGCATCTCCGTGATGCCCATATCAAACCTGGGTGGCTCCAAATCTAAATATTCAGTCATGGATGTGAGATCTTCAGATCACTAACACAGCAAAATCTGTTAAAGGCTTGAAATTTAAAGCTGTTTTTCCATGTGCTGTGTAATTAAAGGTCTGATTTCCCAAAAAGTTAATCCTTTTGGATTAAAAAAAACCCTAAACTAGTGTCAAATCTGTACTGGGACTAAAAGGAGTTGTGTATCTTGGCCTTTTGTGTTCTAGCACCCTGATTTCTTGAAAATTAGTTGAATAGCGTACAAGTTCTTTGGTACAGAGAGGTATAGGCACTCCGTCCGCCGTTGAGGTGACTTAAGTCATGAAACCATGTTTAAGTATGCATGATGGTATTCTAATTTACAGTTTTGCAGCCTTGATTAACTTTGCTTTTAGTTAGATGCATACAGTCTTTAAAGAAGTACACAGGTAAAGAGAATTTAAAGGTAGTAATATGATTTCTTGTAATTTGGCTGAAAATGTAAAAATTCTGTATGTGACTTTGGTGCTTACAGTTACTTAATTTCTTGTCTTGGAGTTGGGTTGCCAACAGTAGCACAAAATCTGCAGTTATTGCTGAAGTCTGTAGAGACAGTTTTGAATGGTTGTTAGTGAGGTTAGTTGATCTTTTGATGAAACTAAAAGTTGCATCTAAAAATAATGATCTTAAGTGCAGCTTTTGATATGATGTTACGGGAAATTTTAATTTGTTGTGCCATAAATATCTTTTATATTTTATTTCATGCAAATGAGTAATGCATCCTTTTTAAAACTTTATATGTAGGAATGTTGATTTTCATCCTGGAGAAGACATCACTTCTGTGATACCTTGACTTAGTCCACTGAAAATGAAGCAGGATTCTGCTAGAAACACTACTTACACTGTGGACTGTGAAGATTATGTGCATGTGGTAAAATTCAATCCGTTTGATAGTGGAGATGCATGTTCCCTCATTGCGTATGGTGGCAATAATTATGTTGTTATTGGGACATGCAGGTTTCAGGTTAGTTTCTGTTATTGTTGATTTTGTTAGTTGCTTCCTGAAACTTAGTCTGGGATATTTGCTTAAAAAAAAAAAAATATATATATATATATATATACATGCAGATGTAAATTACCCTTCTGCTGCTATAAAGTTCCTTTTGAATAGAATCATAGAATGGTTTGAGTTGTAAGGCATCTTTAAAGATCATGTAGTTCCAATCCCCTGCCATGGGCAGGGACACCTTCCACTAGCCTGGGTTGCCCAAAGCCCCATCCAACCTGGCCTTGAACACTGCCGGGGAGGGGGCAGCCACAGCTTCTCTGGGCAACCTCTTCCCTCTTTCAGTTTAAAACCATTACCCTTTGTCCTATCACCGTGCTCCTTAAAGAAACTACAAAAAACCCAGAAATACTCTACTGAAAGAGTAATCCCATTTTGGTATCTCTTCCTAGTGTTGGTGACTGCTACCCAAGAACTTAAGCACATAACTTTAGAAATATGTGACAACATTTGCTGTATGTTGTTCTTTACCTTCACAAGATAATTGGCTCCTTTTTTGCACAGTTATCTTTTGTTCTATGTACAGTTGATATTTAGATTAAATTGCCTTCTAAAGCTTTCAGCTAGACTGCAAAACAGCAAAGATTACAAGTACTTTAAAATTTACAACTACAGTGTCTGTTAATTTTATACTTTTTTTTTTTTTTTTTAAGAAAGGACAGTATAAATAACTAATTTTGGGGGGTTTGCTTTCCCAGTTGTTTTTATTGGATCTCTCTCACAGACTGTTAGAAACAGTAATATATGTTTTCTTACCTTTAAATTATTTAGTCATCATATTATGAAAGTTTTTAAAATGTAAAATACTGTGTGCTGTATACTTTTAGACTGTATGAGATTTTTTTTTTTTTGCCTAGATGCTTGAAAATCAATAGGAGACAGCTGTTATCTTTGGAATCTGTTTTTAAGCTTTTTTTCTTTAACTCACTTCTCTATTATACAGTATTATTTTTGTACTTTATCTAATATGAATAACAGCATACCTGGTCTTTTTATTGTTCCTCAAAGTCTTACTGTTGGAAATTCTCTGAAAAGCACCTAGTGCTAACCACAAAAACCTACTGCCATCTATATTGCCCTGTAATCTTGTTTCTAGTGTAGGTCTTGAAAAGAAACTAATTAGAATTTTGACAACCACTGGTACAAGGTAGTTTTTCTATAATTTTCATATCCTTCATTCCACATATGGAATCAGTGAGTATTTTAAAGTAGGGGAAGAAAATGCTGTTCTTTCTCCTTTCTTTAATAAGCACTGAAAAACTGGATAATTTCATTCTGCCTCAGCTAGGTTCTTCCTAGCTTCCACATATTCAGAGGGCATACAGAGAGGTTCTTCACCTTAAAGAAGAATTGTGATCTAGAGGGAGTTTTGTAGAAATATCCTTTGAGATTCTCCATTAGATATTTTGAAAACTTTAGGTTTTTTTAGAGGTCAGCTGATTGACTGACTCTACAACCCCAACTCGTTTCATCTTTCCTGCCATCCAGTTTGCTCACCAGTGGGAAGAATAGACAAGTTAGTAATTTTGGTCATGTTAGATGACAGAGGTTACCTTTCTAACTCCTGCTGTTTGAAGAATGTTGTTCTGGAAGTGCTAGCATTTTTCCATGGTGTAAAAACAATTTGGAGAGAAGATAGCTGAAATGACTGCTTGCTTTTGTTCCCATTGTTTCTTCTTGCCGTGTGTACTTACCTACCATGCTGTTACAAGTGGCTTTAGTTCTGTCTGTGAGGACAGTACTTGTGCCAAGAACGGGCTCACCAACTTTGTAACTCATTTTTGTGCACTACGTTGGCCTCTGGCTTGAGACTGCAATCGTTTAATCTATTTTTAAGTACTTAGATATTTCAACTTTATGCTTTCTTTGTGTTCCAGGTTTTTACTTTGAGGGTGTTACAATCTAAAAAGATCACAGAAACATGTAATTTTGAAAGCCTTTCAATTTCATATCAGTCTGAATTGTTAGAAGTTAGCAAGGTGGTGTTCTGCATTAGCTAACTACAATGTTTCTATAGGAGGAGGATGCAGAAGTGGAAGGCATGCAATATAAGGCACTAAGAACATTCCATCATGGAATCAGAGTTGATGCCATAGCATGGAGTCCAGAAACTAGACTTGATGCTTTACCTCCCCAGATAAGGTATTTATAATAAATTAGTACAATAAATCCTTGCCTCTTACCTGGTTTTGCTTATTCCATAATATTGGACTAATTTTAAAGCTTATGGGTGAAATCTAACTCTTTAGAAATCACTTACAAAGTTTCTGAACACTTCAGTAGAACAATATTTTCATTCTTAGAGTCATTCTTTTTTTGTGTGTGGG